GTACCAGCGAGCTTCTAGAAACATCACTATTAGGGTCACGCGAGAGATAGTCCCTGAGTAAACACGAGACATAGACGAGGTAAGTAGGCGGCGTATGTTTTCGCGTAGGAACACTAACCAAGAAACCCGCAAGATCTTAGGGGAGGAATCCAATATAACACACGATCTCTTTACTAATGCTCTCCCCCCAACTTGCCTGATGGACCGTTCCGCTGGGATTAACGACCCCTCTTTCACCATCAGTCTTCACTGTGCACGCTCTCGCTTAGATGTGCGGTGCCTACTCAACAATAGCCGGAAGTTGGTAAATACTCCCCCCCGCCTAGACAACTTATCCGTGGCTCGACCATATAATAGTAACCTAAGGCTCATTTATATTTCGGCCTTGCGTCGCTGGATCCCATCAATGTAGGTACGAACCCATAGAGGCAGGTAGCTGGTCGGTTGACCCATGTATACTACGTTTCTCCTAGTCCTCCCTCTCTCTCACCGACATTCTCCGGAGTACCCTACGGCGGCCTGCAGATCGGCCCTCTCTTGTAAGTTTAAAACCACCTTTAGGTCATCCGCATCCAAGTTGCTTCTTGCAGGTGGGTGTATCGTAACAATTGACGTACACTACCGACATGCACCACACGCTTGGCAGCAGATACTATTTCGCGCGAAGATGAACTGTTACGTCCCGTTTCTCCCGCGGCCAGGGCCCAGGATGACACCTACGCTGTGACCGCTACTCAGAATTAAACATTTACTTCGTCCGTCTGCATGGGCATCAATGAGGGTATATACAGGTCTGCTTCCCCGCCTCTGAGTGGCGATAGAGATACTACGACAACAAGTAGTCATGGTTGGCGCATAGGTGCGGTAGCTCTGCAGTTGAACGCCCCTGGATCTTAAGTTAGGGTTATAGACTAATGCAGTAATATCTCCTTGAGCTATCGCCGCTAGAGCCATAACACACATTCATGTGTCTCAAATGTGAATCATGGGCTTAATCAAGTATTCACGCAAACTGCCACCCAGCCCACTAACACAGCATGAGCGCGGCTAGCTCGCCTGAAGAGCATAGAAATACTCGTAATTATACGTTCATAATATAGTGAGGCAATAGTGGCAAACCATTGAACTCTCCCTAAGTGGCCGGTGAGATCGACAGGCTAGGCCGCAGGTAAGGAGACCACTCCAGCTCCAACCAAAGACAAGAGTATTGCAATTGCTATATCCGCAAGGAAAGGATATGCTACTAAGGCTATCGTGCTTGTAACTCGGCTTCGATGTCCTATGATCATATCAATCACTCTCATCAGACGCCTTTAAGCAAGCTCGATTACTACTACAATCTCACCCCCCTATTCCCGAAGAAGCCCGTTTGCAACCCCCTAAATCCTGGGCTCCCAGGAAATTCTATCTTAGACGGAGGACAGTATTTTTTTTTTTTCGCGAGTTAATATTCTGCATCTATAGGCGAGGATGTTTCGGCGCTTGATTCATGTGATGCCTCCTATACTACACCAGGAGATTAACCCATGGCTGAGGGGGAGACCTCCTGTAACCGGTTGGTTTTGGGGACTAACGCAGGGATTTGCGGATTTGGAGTGCTTACTGGGTGGTTTTGATGTTCTATGTAGTATCAATGGCAAGGTCGTCGTCGTGTCCCTTCGCGATAGGTAGACGGAGAGAGGAGCCAAGTAGGTAGACCATGGTAGGGACAGCAGTGTTGAAGGGTAATTCTACCCCGTCTATACTGGTAGAGAGGTAGGAAAGACTTGCCCGTCGTCTTTTGTGCTGAGCTACGGCATCCCTTGCTTCTACCTACCGTTTGGGTATTCTGAAATGCTTTGTTGTTTTGTTAACAATGACACGAGAATTGAGCATGATATGTTACCAGCTATTTACTTTCTATCATCCTGCTACGGACCTACGGTTGTATCTTAGCCAGGCAGAGTATTTCCCTCGGTCTATCCATATCTCTAGCCAACGAAAGGGATTGTCCAGTTCATTGACCTAGTAGTTGTCAGGAGTAATGTCCTTTGAGGTTAGTCATACACAAAGTGAGTGTCTAGGGTAAGTAGACCAAGTAATAGATAGTAACGCCTGGCCTTCTATACTCTGACGAGGGCGCTCCGCGCCTTTTATATAGTCGTAGATAGACCCCTGTAGCCACCCTGACAGTAGTGAAGTTGTTAAAGCAGCTACTTTCGAAGTTACTGGCGATGACTTTACTTTTTCATTCACATTACCCCCAACTTCTCAATCCCTATCTTTATACCAAGGTACTTTCAACGTATTTTACGTAACTAGGGTTAAGCTAATATATAGTTTGATCTAAGCCGATAAATTATAGTGGTATATCTTGTTAGTGGCAGGAATGTTGCTAAATGTTAGGAGCGTTATCATAGGTCTCTGGGAACGCCCATAATGAGTGGCCCTAGCTTTTGTTTATATCTCATTTTTTTATTTCGTACTATTTCTAAGATATGTTCCGAGGTCTTGATACCTTAGATGTTGATATTATGTTCGACATGACGTTAACAAATTTTCTAACCATTCTAGTGTCACTGTCTCTACAGTGTATAGCACACCTACATCCAGGACCTCGGTCCTAGAGTATTGAAAAGCCAAGCATTAGTTGATATATAAGATATATCAACAGAAAAGCCCTATGTCCTTGGTGACGAGCATTTCGTTCGCTCACCCAGACACTCGAATGAAGGGGAAAACAAATAAGCTGAGATTCTTTGTAAGAACGAGACAGGACTAAGAAGAATCCTGCAGACGAGGACGTATTAAATTACCCCCAGGCCGCGAACAGATTGGTGCCAGGACGTGAGCCCCGAAGCATGCCAGCCAAAGGCTCTCAGATAAATAAGTCGGAGAAAAAGGCTAGGGCAGGAATACTCTAATGATACGATGGCCGTTACTCCTTGGACGATCAAGTTAGTGAGCCCAACTTTATCTGAAAGTTCCTACTACGCCGAAAATTACACATAGTTACCTATGGGGTCTAAGAGTAGCATCACTAGGTAAATCTATAGAATACCATTTTCCGGCCATTTGTGATTAAGTACCACAACAGGAACTCTGCGCCCTACATGTAGATACGGCGACGGTTATTCCTATAATATACCTTATCAAGGCGTGACAAAGGTCGTCGGAGAGAATGGAAAGGTGATCACTACCACCGGTTTCTAATCAATTCAGCATCTCAAAAGTCAACAAGCTCCTCAAGATCGTCTGAGTGGATACGGTTCTAAGGGTGTTCTTTCGAGGTGTTAAATGATTAGTTGGTAGTTAGTAGTGGCTGTCGTATGCGTACATGTAGATAGAAGTTAAAACCGCGATGTGAGGTGTACTATTTACCTGATACCTAGACTCTAATTTAAAGAGACTTTGGAAAGTTAAGTTATGTCACTACTGTCAAAATTTCAAGTCAAAAGGTCTGTGCGTGAGCTTTGGGTGGCCACTTTTCTTTTACTGCTCGAGTATTTGTGAACTTAACCTTAGGTAGTAGTCATAAGAGACATTGAAAGAGGCTGTTGGTGGCGTGGCGGTTGTAATCATGCTGAGTAAAGGGGCTTTATAAGAGAAGGGAGATTATTCATCCCTACATAGAAAAGATACTACCGACTTCTCTGGCTTTAGTCATAAAAGATTCCCCTAGGTTAGACCTTTCGACCTGTCTGTCCGTTCAAGGGAAGATATGGCATTGATGCTATTATTACTTTATTACCATCAAGGTCGTTTGCAATGTGGGAACATATTGCGTGCTCTTACTATGTAGTAGCTTGATAAAGACCCACGGCCTAACAGCATATTGAGACCCAGGAAGACGGTCGGTATTGGAAAAAGGGCGGCATTGTTCGGAATGGGCCCCAAATATTGGGGAAATAAACACGATCCGAAGATTGTTTATCGAGAATTATAATTGAAGTGCGCATTCCAACACACGAAGAATTGTTGAAGTCGTTTGATAATGGGTTGAATATATATATATAGGGGTAACTATGTAGAATCAGTCGACGTTTCTTCAATGTTACGACATCATAAGGTTTTTTTTAGGTGCTTAACCTACCGCCTGCCATCCGGTCAGCCCGATTTTAATGGAAACCTTGAATCATTCGGTTCGGCTATATTGTACATAGGTACTTTGCCGCTACCATAATATTTACATGCATATTCCGCCCTACTGGATTTCGATACTTGCCATATAAAACGGTCCAATGAGATGCTTTAATTCCGATAAGAAAGAATAAGCGGCAAACTTCTCTATGACATAATAGCGCCATCAGTCCTTTAGAAATTCCCTCTTTCCTCAGGAAGCCAACAGGCCACAAAGATCCTTCCGTTTAGCTGCGTCTGTCGCGTCTGTCAGGTCTGTGCTTCATCTGATAACAACATCCCCGCCACTTGCGATTTCCGAACAGTGCTCCGACCCGAGCTTGCCTTGCAGTGTTTTGTCCCATAACATGTCTGCATGTATGTACCGTATGGATCTTTGATCGCCCGTTAGTCTCCACAAGACAGTCAGTCCCGTCCCCTGCGCTTCCTAGAAGAACCAGAAGAAACCCCCCAATTCTTCCACTTTTGCGTCTCAGAAAATCCTCGTCTGTTTCGCCTGTTTCGAAACATCAACATTTCGTCGCCCTGTCGGCTAGCATTCGGACAATAAATATCAAGCTGCCGGCGGTCGCATGGCTACAACAATTAGTGTCTAATAGCCACTTGGGCAACGACTAACCACTTTTAATTACACACTTAACTTTTCTTTCATCACACCGAGCAACACCAGGGCCGATCTAGGTTTCTAGATTGTCTAGGTGATCCCGCAATCCCGGACCATCGCCACTAATCTTGTTCCCCTTATTTTTATTTTCTTCTTCTTCTTTTTCTTCTTCTGTCATACATAACCGCGGGACAAGAAGCGAACGAGCTCCGGCTCCATCACATTATTATTCGACAAACATCTATCGATCAGTGCTGCTAGCACCATAACCGACGCGATGGCTTGGTCGAAAACCACCCGGATCAGCATAATGCTGGCCATTGATATCGCCTTCTTTCTCATAGAGTTGATATCGGGTTTTATGGTCCATTCCTTGGCATTGATGGCAGACGCGTTCCACATGCTGAACGATATCATCTCGCTGATTATTGGTCTGTGGGCTGTGACTGTCGCCAAGAGAGAAACTACCAACAAATTTTCTTACGGCTGGGTTCGCGCCGAAATCCTCGGTGCCGCTTTCAACGCTGTTTTCCTAATCGCCCTTTGCGTCTCTATCATTCTCGAAGCGTTAACTCGGTTCATCGAGCCTCAGGAAGTCTCGAACCCGAAACTTATTCTTATCGTGGGCTGCTGCGGGTTGGCCTCGAATCTAGTCGGGTTTTTGGTTCTAGGAGGACATGGGCATGATCACGGCGAACATTCCCACGATGACGACCACGACCACGACCACGGACACGAACATGTTCACAAGCACGATGGCATTAGAGCCGCTGAGGAGGGTAGAGTAACAGCCACTGAGGAATTTATAGACGAGAACGGTCCGGTGGGAGATATACTGCCCGAAGTTACGGTAGCAAGAGCTCGCGCTGCAAACGCCTCACCAGAGACCGTTCGTCACATCCAATTCGAGCAACTAGGAAGGCCGGATCTTCACGAACGAGGCGGTAGTCGGAGCTCCGGTCCTAGGGGAAGAGACCGTCGACGCGCAGGCAGCCTTAAGCATAGCCGTTTAGCTAGTATCGATGATTTCAGCATCCACCCGGCGAGCTTCAGACAAGACATCATCGAACATAGCCGATCCAGCCATAACGAGGAAACCGATGAGAGTTCTATTGACGATAATTATACGGACTCTCCTGTTCGTGACGAATCAGCTATTGACGAGACCACACCCCTAGTAGCGAACGAGCGTGTAGCAGATAAGTCGTCCGCTCACAAGGGTCACTCAAGCCGGTCGAGAAGTTCTCATCGCCATCATCGTACTAGACGTGACTCAGGAACGCACTTAGACCATCACCACAACAGGCCGAAGTCTAGGTCGAGGAAGAAGGGACACGGTCATAGTCATAACCACGCCGACATGGGCATGAACGCTATGATCCTCCATGTCTTGGGTGATGCTCTAGGAAACGTTGGTGTCATCGCTACCGCCCTGATTATCTGGCTCACTGATTGGCCGGGACGATACTACGCTGATCCGGCTGTGTCATTATTTATTACCCTTATCATTCTTAGATCGGCAATTCCCTTGACGAAAGCGACGGCCCAGGTGCTGCTACAGGCTACGCCGGATCACATCGATGTCCAAGACATTAAAGAGGATATCCAGGCTCTACCAGGCGTAATTAGCTGCCACCACGTCCATATCTGGCAACTTTCCGACACAAAGGTGATCGCGTCGCTGCACGTGCAGGTCGCATTTCCAATCACGAGCGAGGGGGGAGAGAGGTACATGAAGCTCGCTAAACAAGCACGGAAATGCCTTCACGCCTATGGCATCCATAGCGCCACTATACAACCCGAGTTCTGTCTGGACCAAGACTGCGCTCCTATTGACGACGGCTCTACGACGCTCGACGGACAAGCCTCGCCACGCTATCCACCCGATGTGTGTCTTCTAGAATGCGTAGATGACTGCGTGGGCCAAGGTTGCTGTCCGCCACCTTCGGGAACGGCCTCTAAGGCAGGATCGAGCCGCAGATCCAGTCACTCGGCATCTCACGATCACAACGGGGACAGTGATCACGGACATGGACATCACCATTAGGGGTTATTTGGCCGATAGAGAGAAAAATTTACTTGTAATTTTAGACGTTCATTAATATTGGGCTGTCATTGTAGCGTGGGAATAGTACGGCACTGCTCGGCTCTGGCTAGACAGACTAGATGAGCGTCTCTTTTGTTTTCTAGTACAGGTGTAATAGTGCGCAGGCGTTTAGGGCAAAAAGGCAGAGCGAGGGCTCGGGCGGTCAATGATACATAAATGTACAGATCAGGCTCCAAAATGCATGTTTACCTACTTGTAGTGCAATGAATGCATTTTATTGCTTGAGCGGATGATGGCATATAAATGCAAATTTAGATTTAGATTACTTTAGGTAGTCTAGTCTATGCGATGTGTTCATATAACCAGATATCTACCTAACCTACCTGTGTAGGTAGATATCAACGATGAGGCTCGTGATGAGGCTCGTGAGATAACTCCATCACGGGCAGATATCGTATAGGTTAGGTATGTTGGCTACAATGCAGGGAAGTTATATCTAACGTAGCATTTCACGTGGACATTTGAAACTGCGCGTTTGCTTCACTCACCCCCCTTTGAAATTTTAAGCATAGCGCACGGGCGCTTACTTTTTATCTTTACCGATGAGTTGATAAGTTGACGGTTACATACATACCTCATATACATATGTATTCAGCCATCGACACTCCCAGTAATTATAAATACCATTATCACGTACTATGGATGTATTTCTCTCTTATCCAGCATAAGAGTCGGTCATGTTATTCGATTGATTGCATAGGTACTCTCACGTTTGATCATCCCATCTAAGCATTACACCCATCCGTACATATGTAAGAGGCAGGCAAGGCATGAATGATCGCCCGCGACACCGTGGTTCTCTCCAGACGAGGCGCGAACGCCCCTCCGCGCTCTCTCTCGATAGGGGGGATAGGGGAATCTGTAACGAATGCTACTGCCTCCCCCCTGGGCATATCAATCATCCCTCGCGATGCGCGGGCTACTGGATCGGGGTTGGATTAAACCCCGTTTACACATTCGCGCTCGGGGATGTCTGCGCCGGTGTGGTGTGAAACCGGGGCTGTAGGTAGGTTGAATAATTGCATCGATGTGTATCTCTAATTTTTGGAAGCTGCTTTTTCTCCTTTCCGTCTCTGTCCCGCTCTTTTGGTAGTATTCACCTACCCATTCTTTTTTTTTTTCGTTTTCTCTCTCGCCGGTTCGGGGTTCCTGTAGTCTGTTCGAATTTGCTCTCGTTGAGCGGTCGTATTCTATTCTCTGAGAGCTGGGTTCTTTCTCTTTTCTTCTGGTTAGTCATTCCTTTTGCTTGGGTAGGTACCTAGTTAGATCAACGATATCGTCATCATGAAGGTTACGAATACCGCTGCCGCTGCTATAGCGGCGTACGTTCTCTGCTGCCGTGACCTGGCGTCGGCTGGCCCCGTGCGGAAGCGTGGAGGAGTGTTAGATCCTTTGTTTGAGATCACGACTCTTGGAGGCATGACGTTTAAGATCAGTCAGGTCCCAAATAAGAAATTCTACGGCCAGCGGAAGGGAAGAGGGTCTATGGCTATCGCGAGGGCGTATTCGAAATACGGCGCTGCGGTTCCTGATGATTTGCTTTCTACTATTGAGGAGATACTGAAGGAACTCGGGTTATTAGGGAACGGCGGGGCTGGGAATAACACGACTGCTGATCCTCAAGGTATAACTAATATTCCCCTTGCTTTTACTGCCTTGACTTATCTGTTTCTAGGTGAGGTAGCAGCGGTTCCGCAGATGTTTGATTCCGAGTATCTATGCCCGGTAGAGATCGGTACTCCGCCGCAGACTTTGAATTTGGACTTTGATACAGGTTCCTCCGATCTGTGGGTATTCAGTTCCGAGACACCAGGGATTCAAGTCATGGGTCAAGATGCCGTATGTATTTATTGACCCCTTAGGCCGAACCCTTACTAACTTCCTTTACTTTACTCTAGTGGGATATCGAGCAGAGCTCAACGGCTCAGCTGCTAACGGGGGAATCATGGGCTATCAGCTACGGCGATGGCAGCAGCTCCAGTGGTAATGTCTACCTAGATAAGGTCTCAGTCGGCGGAGTTACGGTTCAGAACCAAGCGGTGGAATCTGCTCGCAACGTCTCGGTGTCGTTTACGCAACGACCTGACACAGACGGGCTTTTAGGGTTGGCGTTCGGTTCTATAAACACGGTTAAACCTACTCAGCAGAAGACTTTCTTCGAGAATGCGATATCAGATCTCGCGTCTCCTCTATTCACAGCCAATCTGAGGAAAGCAGAGCGTAAGCCCATCACGAACCAATGCTTTATTATTTATTATGCAGATAGTATACTAACAGACCACAGCTGGCAACTACAATTTTGGCTTCATCGATGCAACCGAGTTCACGGGGCAAATCACATTTGTACCTATTAACTCGTCCTCCGGCTTCTGGCAGTTTACCTCGGAGGGGTACTCGATCGCCGGCTCCGGTGCTGTTTCTGCGCCGCACGAAGCCATCGCAGATACAGGCACCACCCTCTTGCTTCTCCCGCAAGATATCGCAGACGCGTATTACTCGCAGGTGCAGGGAGCTGTCAACGACGTGAGCGGAGCAGGGGGGTACGTCTTCCCGTGCTCCGCCTCGCTGCCGGATTACACGGCGATGATCGGGAATCACCAGGCCGTGATCCCCGGCGACTTCATCAACTTCGCGCCCGTAGACGGCGACACGTTTGAGGATGCGACGACGTGCTTCGGCGGTATACAGGCTTCGCCGGCAGGTTTCCCACTTGCTATTTATGGGGATATCTTCCTGAAGGCGCAGTTCGTGGTCTTCCACGGCGGTAACAATGAACTTGGATTTGCTAATAAGCCCCTATGAGGGATTGGGCTATATAAGCTAGCTAGCTACATGTATGCATGAGTTTGGTATAGTATATACCTATAGACCTGGTATCAATAGTTTACTCGGTATACCTAGAGTTCGAAATGGGTGATCTGCGTTATGAATATACAGATTAGACATTGGTTATGTTATGACCGTGGTTTAGTCCGTTATATAGGTCAGTAATCCCGGGTTTAATAAATAAACATGTTCGTAACCGGGATAGTTAAATCCAACAATTCTTAGAAGTTGATATGATATAAGTGGCTTACACGTAACTAGGTGACGTTACCCGGGGAGTTATATATACCCCAAATATCGCTTGCGCTCGGCATTTCAGTCTCTTCTTGTTCTCTCCCGCTTTAGATCGGATTCGTTCTCGCCTACCTATCAGAAACAGAGTCATCATTAGCAATTCGGCATCCTTCGCGAGAGGTCTGTTCTCGTCTTCGTCTTCGTCATAATTCAGACGAATCTCTAACCTAGTATCGATGTTAACAGAAGAAATTCAGCTTCGTTGTTTAGTTGTTGGTGGGGTCATCGCCAACACGCTTGGGATTCTTCCTCTCGCCTGACATCACGCCACTCGTTGATCCTCAGCCCGGTTGATAAGCATACGCACGAATGCGTATATAAATAATAAAGATAGGAACGGATATACTTCCTCTTCGCCGAGCCGTTCTGTCCGATCCGAATCGCATCTCACGGTTATAATCCCCATACTCCCCATACTCCGTATACTCCCCCTCGGTACTCCCCATACAAACTCCACTCCCACATCCGGAACACTAGGTAACACCCACGCAACCGCAACAATGAGCCTCCTCCAAAACAAATACGCAGCAGCCCTCATCAACCCGGACGTCCTCCGAGCCCACCAAAAACCCATCCTCCTCGCCACCGGCATAACCGCCGTCGCCACCCCGTTCCTCGCCTACGCATGGTCGTGCTACCGGGAATGGCTTGCCCTCGGCCCCGGCGGCATGCCCTACCACTTCCCCGGCTGGCTCCTGCAAGTCGGCCTGCACGCCGTCGCGCGCTCCGATACCCGGGAGCCCCTGCCTAGGCCGTACAAGCGGCTAGAGGACGTAGCCGCCTTGTACGGCGCCGCGGGCGCGAAGTCGTACTACAACTACTCCGGGGACGGCCCGGGCCAGATTCCAAAGCGCAAGGGCGACCGCCCTACCGTCCCGACCTTCGTCGCGCCCCAGCGCCAGACCTCCGACGCCGCGCCCCCCGCTACCGTCGCCGCGCAGAAGGCCTTCCTAGCCGCCGTAGCAGCGGCCAACGCCTCGCTCTTCGAGGTCCGGACCAGCAAGCTCGAGGGCCCTCTCCACCAGGCCTTGTGGCTGCGACTCCCCTCCCCCTCCTCCGCGTCGGCCGACGACGACACCACCCTGCGGACCCGGCTAGGGCGGGGCTCGGACGGGGAGTTCGCGCACGTGCACGGCGAGGGGAGCGTTCATGTGACGCTCAGCCCGGCGGACGCCGCGGCCGCGATCGAAGCCGGGTGGGCGGAGCGCTTTGGACTAGCTGGGTGGTGGGGGTCGCGCGTGGTGCCCTGGGGGTTCGTCATGGTGTACGCGCCGCGCGACGAGGGCGAGTTTGCCGTGTTTCGCGAGTTGGTACTTGCCGGTGCGCGGTATGTGGCCGAGGGCGCTGGGGTGGAAGTTGTTGCTCCGGCGGAGTAGTGAATTGGGGGGGAGAGTAATCTAGGTATGTAGTGTAGGGGCGTGAATGGAAGGAAGTAGGTAAGTAAAAGGGCGTGGTATAGTTGGTTGGTTGGCTGGTATACAACTTGCTTGCATGGGGTACCTACCTATCCGATATATCGAGGTCTATGTTACCTCGTGATGGACCTGTGAAGGGGAGGACGTATTATGTGTTTGAAGCGTGTAGCTTGTGGCGTTGGGGAGAGGGTTACTTACATACTAGTATATGCGAATGTGCGGTGGGTGATTCAAAAACGCATCGGTACGGAAAGCGGTCGGGACGGTGAATAAGGTAAGATCTAAGACAAGGAGAGGTGTGTATGATTAAGAGTATAATCTTCTCCTTCTATGATAAATTTGCTGCGTTAATACTACTACTGATGTCTTCCCTCGAGACCGTATTATACCCATCTGCCAGAGTTACCGAGTTGCTGATTTTATTAATAGGCTACATCGCGATTCTACTTTATTAACAACTTTGTAAAATGCTAGAATATCCAAATTTGTTACATGTCGCTTCGTTTACAAATCACTAAGAATAGGTAGCTTTGACTTGTACAATGCATCTAAGGGGCTTAGCCCCCAAGCGGGGGACAAGCAATATAATTCATAGTACTGCTGACGGTATATAGTTCAAAATTATAGGTAGCATTTGCTACCACATCTATGTCTATTCATCGGGTATCTTCACTGGGACCTACGATACGACACCGAACAGCTGCGGGCACTTTGACCTCCATCTGGGATAGGTAACTTCATTGAAGAAGCTGTTTATTGGTGTTACCTTTGGTCATCCTTTGCCAAAAGCATTTCAGATCAACAAACTGTCGTTCGTCATATTTCCATATGCTATGGCATGCCAAAAAGCCAAAATCTATCCAGATTATAAGGCGTACCCGTAGCTACGGCCTCTTCCCCCGTGCGCCGTAGGTAAAAACAAGACATAAAGAGGAGTGGGTATGATGAACTGTATGCAAGAAAAAAAAAACTCGCCCTCCATGCATCTAGTCGCAAATCATCTTTCGTTAAACATAAAAAATCAAGAGAGACGCTCCGTAGCAGCAACATGATGGTAGGTGACTAAGAGTCGCCCAAAAACGTGACGAGCAATACATTTTCCTCGTTCGCTTTCTTCCAAAGGTGTTGGTTATCATAGTCTCGTGGCAGATTGGCGCGTTAAACAAAGGAGAGCAAGAAAACGTATCAGATCGGAGACGAAACGTCACCTAAACGTAGTTGTGTATGGACCTTCGACTTTGACGTCTCTGATCCCATCCGGCATCATACGAAGCCATTCGGCCCAGTTCTCGAGGTTGACCGCCTCCTCGGTCAAACGCATCGAGAATGTCAACTGAGGACCGTGGGGGTTCTCGGGGTACAGCACCCGAGGTGGTTGCGGCGGAGATAACGTGATCGAAGGTAACCTCGAGTTACCCGAGATTTGTATGTGCAGCGGCGAAGGGAAGCTTAGTATCACTCCCTTCTCCGGGTGTTTGTCTTGGATGATCTTAGGGTAGGCGGATAGGAGTTTCGAATGCAGCTCGGCGGCTGATAAGGGATTCGGAAATCGTTGGGTGGCCCGTGTTCGGAGTTGGTCAGCTAGCGTTCTTGTAAACCCGTTTCGGTCCAACACGTCAAAATAGTCTTCCGAGGACGAGGCCGCAATAAGTTCCAACACCCCCTTCTGCCGGACCATCTTTGAAGATGGAAAGTATGCAGCATCCATTACAATGAGAGTGTCCGAGCGCGCTTCCTCTAATATCTGTTGTATACCGCTCCATCGAATAGTCGAAGCCTTCGCACGGTCCCGAGAACTATCTAGGGTTAGATCGTCGGAAAAACAAATTTGACGTTTCAACGGCTCACCTTGCTAGAACCATCTCTCTATGCTCGTCCAAGTAACTATACCCGTTGTAATACACAATTTTCAACACGTCCCTAGTGTCGCTTTTGTCCGTGAAATCGTTAATAATCCGCGATAGCCACCTCCACGAGTTAGTGCAGCCGTCGGACGCGGACGACGGAATCTTGAGCACCTCGTACATAAAATGGTAATACTTATCGAAGACCCCGGCCAGTTCTTCTACCGCGGCCGCCACGCCGGGGTGCTCGTCATCCTGCCAGAAGATCAGAAGCGCGCAGACGCTGCTATAGCGACTGCGGTGAGGCGAGGATAGAATCCTCGACGCTGCATTCTCCAGGTCTACCTTGATCGAGTCGATACTTGGCAGGGGTGCGAAATGGTTCGGTGCAGCAGCCAGGGGAGACGTGGAGATAGGCTTCTCCAGCCGCGGACCTGACGGAAGAGGCGTCCGGATCCTAGCGTCGCTGAGCGGTGGCCTCCCTGGCGTATTATGGGCGCTATTAGGAGTAGCGGGGGTGGAGTCAATTTCCATCTCTTGAGGATCTTGGGGGAAGTGATGTCTAACACGGGCTGCATGGTTTGGCGCGGGGCTGATCCGGCGACCAGTTAGGGGCGCGAGCTCCTGCAAAGGGCTGGACGAGCGATATTTCCGCATAGCATCTTCCCAAGTCATATTATGGTGGTTGGGGTGACACTTGAGAGGGTAATCATGTGAGCGTCATATTGCTAACGAAATTTAAGGTAGGCAGATCGTAATGTGTGACTTACAGCAACCCTCCGCCTTCTGCAGTCGGCGCACGCGCCCAGCTTCCGAATCAGGGCGGCTTTCTCCCTCTGCTGGGCAGATAAAGGTCCCGTCCTCCTACGACTAGCACGACGATTGTGCGAGATCTCTGACCCATCCTTGACCGAGAAGATGGACTGTGACGACTCTACGCTATAGGCCGTCGAGTTAGTGTCAGTCGAGACATTGGAGATTGTCGTCGTATCGGTAGTAGTTGTCGACGTGGATGAGCCCGTGTCCTTCCTCATGGGCGTTGCCGACTGGCCTGGCGATGCTGGAAGGCTTCCATTTCGCACGTGCTCGGGGTGTGCTCCCTGGTGTGGTTGAAGTTGTGGCTGAGCAGGTTGATGATGATGCCCGCCGGACTGTGATTGCTGCTGCTGCTGTTGCTCATGCTGATGAGGGACGTGCTGACCTCTATCCTCACTCTTGCTGTCTTTAGGAAATGACTCCGACAGACTGGGTGCAGGATGCATGTCGTTCTGGGCGCTCACACAGCGATATCACGGCTACCTCATAATGAAGAGTGACGAAGACGGCTCGGAGGAGCGCTGGATGGGAAGTTTGAGGGATTCGAGGGATGCTAACACCGGGAGTGGAGAATGTTAAACGAGGGTGATAGCAAAATTGCCGCGAAGTGAGGAAAGAAATATGTAAGGATATGTACGAATATGTATGGAGTTAATAGACCGTTAATAGACCGTTGTTAATAGACCTGTAGTTGGCAGACCGGGAACGAGTACAGCTGGTACCGTAGATCTAGCTCCTAGACGTAAAGCGTAGGTCGGTCTGGTCCACCAGAGACGTAGGTAAGGTATGTGGTAGGTAGGTAGGTATGTGATAGGTATGTTGTAGGTAAATGGTGTGTATATGGTGTATGGCGTATGGTGCATATGGTGTATGGGCAGTGGACGTATGAGATGGAAACGATATGGTTGATAGGTATGGCGATTACATGCGGCAAGGGCAATTATGCGACTGGCCAGAATGTACCTACCTAAGGTATAGGGTATAACCTAGAGTATAAGGTAGGTACGATACAAAAAAACGATACTACAATGTATAGAAGGGAGTAGAGGTAATAGTAACCCTTAGTAGCCCGTACCTAATAGCCCGACCAACTGCAACTTCCAAGAAAGACAAAATATAACCTTTGGAAAGAGAGACGTCTATAGAAACACAGAAACATAGAAACGACGAGGATCGTTGTGCGGCTTCCGAGGCACTGTAATACAAGGCTCCAATGAGAGCTCGAGTTGCGGTTCCTGTTAGGTACTTGTACTATGTAAAGATTTGAATAGTGCGGGGCCGAGTTCTTTCCATCTTTCTCACCTACCTGATACATCACATCCAAGTATCTATACCACTTTAGATCCTAGAAAGAGTACCTCACCTTGTCGATTCTGCATGGTACTCCCAAGATGGCGGCGGGGCCGGTCAGCATCTACTTCATGTTACGCGGACATGCGACTACCTCTTTCTTGTTTGCTACTATGTAGGTAGCTCTAGTCTTTTTTTCCAAGTCCCTCTAGCCTCTCTAAGTCCATCTCGTCTTAGATCGTCTTTTCTCTCTCTCTTTTTTTTCCCCTTTCTCTTTAAATCTTCACCCTTCTCAAAAAATAAGAAACATAAAAAATAAAAAAAAGGGCCGTTACGTATCATTCCCCGAAATTACAGCTTACCAAGGTCAACTTGTTTTATTACCAGTATGTACGGTCTAGAGACCTAATTACCAACCGATAATCTATATCGGCTGATAATAAAAAGAAAAAAACACATGGGGGAGCGCCCAACTGCAACACAGCGAGACGTGAGGTTGCTCTCATGTATCGTTTCAATCTGATTTTGGCCGTGGCTACGGCGGATCTCAGGTAAACACGTGGTAGTCCATTCCCTATCCATTTTTCAAGTTGCCCGCCAATGAATCTCTCCACCCGCCAATCAAGGCCAGCGCCAGCGCAGACGTCGCAGACATACAGCCCAGAGAGACGTGACACTCCGAGTTCCCACACGCACCCCCCTAGCCCGTCGACCGTAGGCTCTTTCGGTCAAGAGGCGAGGCGATGCGAGGCGACACAAGATCAGACACGTCTGCCCTGTGAGGCCACACATTACCTGCTACCTACCGACATTGCCAATGCATGCGAAGGATGGGAAAGGGAGAAAATAAACAATTAGATACCTTGCCTACCTTATTTACCAGGGTTTTTTTTTTTTTTTTTTTTTTTTTTTTTTTTTTTTTTTTTTTTTTTTTTTTTTTTTTTTTTTTTTTTTTTTTTTTCTTTTCTTTTCTTTCGTCCCGGACATTTCCTCCACCTGCTTGCTGCTACGTCCACGTCCTTCAAGCGCGGGTTGGCCCTTGTCCCGTTTATTTTCTGCTCTTGTTTGTGGCCGTCTGCCGCCCTCATCCGATGCTGCGAAATGCAAATGCAAATCCGTCACAGGCGAATATGCATCCTTCACTCGGTCTACGACGCGATGCCATGGGTCAGCCCATGCATTCTGTCCCCCCCGGGTTGACTGATTTGTTCAGCCGATATGAGCTTCATGCAATTGTTTGTCATCTGATGGTCGATTTCCGATCTACGATGGACTCGAATCCCCGTGACCAATCTCTATCTCCTTTTTAAACTACTTATCCATGTCTGTTCAATCTCTCCCGGGTTACGGCTGAAGGAAGATTTTGTGTCACCCTCATACCGATCCGCGTCTAGGGGTAGGTGTTCCTCTTCACCTTTCCCGCACCCTCCTCGGTGGCTGGGCTGCTGGTTCCTTTTCGGTCAGACACGGTCCAATCCCCCCCCCTTTCCGTCGTGTTCCCCTCCTTTACCGTCTGGTAGATACCTATTGCCGAAGGTAGAGCTCGGCGCCTTCGATCTGCACAACTTGAAGTGCAGCAGAAGCCTATCGCGCATCCTCAGCCCTGGTACCTCCTTCGGTCACAGTTTCTGCATGTATACGTCGTCTCCTTGGTACGTTACCACTTTATATACTATGTCCCGCCGCTTCTGGAAGGTCGGTAGAAGGTGACTGGACGGAGGGGGCCCTTTCGGCATCCCTCACCGAACCCCCGAGCTAAATTAGAAGCAATCTGATAGGATAAAAAGCCTTCGCAATCACGCCCTTCGTGGGGACCGCAAGCTAGGTACGTTGGAACTCTTGGCAAGACTTACCTCCGCACCAGTACCGGGGACCGCGAGGGGATTAAAAAAATTATTACCTATTCGTCCCGGTGACAATGCCAATCAAGACTCCTGCATGGGGAACTAAGGGCCGCTCTAGGAGCCGATGCTGCTTGTGGCTGGATTAGTATATAGCACCCCCCGCCGGTACGTCCAGTGAAATGACAATACCAGGTGCTTGGGGGGCCAATTTAAGAGGATTAACGGATGTTCCTGGGTTCGTCATAAGTATTCAAGGTTCCCCCGCAATGGAAGCCGTCCGATAGAATTGCCTCAAGTATCCGGTCCAGGATGGACCTCGCTGAGAGTTTCCTGACGAAGCGGCTCCCGTCTCAAATCGCTCTACAAATTAGACCTTTGGATTAGCTGTGAGACCAGTCTATCGGAATCAAATCCGATCGCTACTAGCCTACTAGCCGAGCTCAACATATCGGCCTTCGCTCCTAGTATACCGCAGTATTTAAACCTAGGGTCGTTGTTTGGGTTGTCTGGATCGTCTGGAGTGCAGCTCCCCATAGTAGGAAAATTAGCAGCTCAGCTATTCGTGTACATTGGGCACTCGAATCATCTGTCACCACGCCATTGGCCAGAAACGGCCTCGCATGTTTGATAGGTAGTCACCTGCTGCGCCAATGAAGACGTGACGAGGACAGCGAATTCGAGAAATAACAACAAACCCCAAACGATCTGATATTCAGCTTGCCCTTTCCGGACCTTTCCGCACCGTTACCTACTCCGGGAAAGATGGCCTTTCTACCACATTTGCTCTATATATTTTATATTTCCGAAATTCTATAAGCGCGATTTTCTTGAATATGGTATGCGGGACTAGTCATCTTCTCTGGTGGATTATCAGTATCATGCTATATCCTCCTCGTGTCTTGTAATTATAGTCTTTGTCAGCACCGTGTAAGCCAGCAGAAGCTACAGTCAATATATTAAAGCTGCACAGGTAAGCCTCCTGCGTGGCCCCTATATCCGTGTCAACCACGTCGACTAGAGCTAGACGCCTATCTATCGTCATTCTTAAGGAGCTTAGGTACACGGCGTCGATGGCTTGGTGAGCGTCGTACCAGGAGCCCAGCGCTGTCAGCTCCAGTCCTACCCAATGCTGCTGGTATTTGTCTGAGGCTTAACAGGTAGGCGTCACGTTATTACAAGGGTTCTCCATGGATGGGACGCCGGAAAGCGAGCATTCTAAGTCATGCTTAGTCCCCCTGGTGCAACATAGCTCTGCTCTCTATGAAACACCGGCGACCCTAACGTTTAGGTGCCCACCGAGACGTCCTCACGCCGATCAAGGGAGACTATGGGGTCTATGGAGACGGTGTTGGTTCGTTGAAATCCACGCTGAGCCGCCGTTCGTACGGGATAGACTCCTTCCGTTGGCTAACCCAAGGTAACCCTCGCTAGAACAACGTGTGTAACGGAATCGTCTAAGCATAATGATTATATGGACCGTATACCCGTTGACCGACCAATTACGACGAACGGCACCCCGATGCGACGCTGATCACTGTCCGCTATTATGGGACGCTGACCGTGAACCTGCCAGAGCCGTACATACCTCTCTCTCTTCATCTCTTCTACCGAGGCGCTGAGAGTGGGAGAGGAGAACAGCTTAGCTAGCCAGCCGCCATGTGCCGATTCCCGTGGCGTATTATCCCCCCTTGGGCTCTCACTGCGTTGCTTACGCCCGCGCGGGTCAGCCAAGGCTGTTGCTGCCTTACCTACCTTGCCCACTCGCCTACCTGCCCGCCCTGCTCGCCTCCCATACGACGTGATGTATCGTGATGCCCCATTGTGCTAAGCTCAAAATATCTCGGGAATCTAAGCGACTAGCCTATATCTATGTATGTGTTACTAGCAAGCTGTAACTCCGCCTCCCTTCCCCCCACCCGCGTTACGTGGATAGACATTTACCTAACGGCCTAGGCATACATATACACGCACACGCATACATACAGACATACATACATACATATACATACGTACATACGGCAGACCTTCTGTCCTCTCCATCTAGGTCTGGTGTCAAGAGCTCATTGGCCTCGTCTCCGCCGTCCACCCTACGGGGGACAGGATGTCTGGTCTGCTTTTTGTGTTACTTCCTTTCCACTCCGGGAAAGGGAGGGGTGGCTTCTCGCTACGCTGTTCCCGCCGTCGTAATATCGCCGAACCAATGCTTCCGCCATCTTGGGACTGACGCCGTGGCCTACGCCTATCGATGATGGCGAGGCGGGAGCCATGGGACCATATAGTCCGAGTTGCTTGTTGGCTCTGCGTAAGTCCGCTAGTGTGCTACATTGGGTTCCAGCTAGAGAGTTTAGATGTTGGACCGGGTTAGCACTGGCGGAGCGAGGTCACCTATAGGGCTGTAGAATCGATAGTGGCTCCATTGATTGGCAATAGGGGCTCCGTCTGGTTGGCAGCGTAGATTTGATACGTCCTAGGACCTTTGGTTAGCTGCAGTCAATAACTATTACGTTCAAGTGGTAAATAAAAGAGAGACGGGAGCGAGTAGGTAAAACGGGACTAATTCCATTTGGTCAATGGGTTTTAGCGCTAGGGACGAGATAAATAAAAATTTTGATATTCGAAAATATTCAAAAAAGAAAGTTGAAAAAATAACTTGAGCATCATCATACTGAACGATGGTATCCACATCTACCTATACACATAATCCAACCCCCTTTCTAGGTGCGCTAATACACGCCTTATTATAACCATTTCGTGGAATTCCCGCTCGTCTACAACGTGATAGAAGCTTAGAAGAAGAAGGCCCCGTATCCAACAACTCGCTTATAGCCCTTAGAATGCAAGAAGCATGGCCACAAGCCCAAAGACACCGTACACCATCCCTGTTGCCGCCCCGCCCTTCGCGCTGACTCCAAAATTCTGGGCGTCTAATGCTAGTATCGGTGAAGGCTCGTAGCTGTTGACGGGGGTGCTGTCCGTCGTCCCGTTCCAGCAGTAGCGGTCGAAGCAGCGCTGGCAGGTAGCGCTGATATCGGTGCCGGTGCGCTCGAGACTGCGGCGCAGAACGGCACACGCCACGCACGCAGGCCACTCGGAGTCGACGGTGCCGTTGCCCATCGTGGCCACGTTGTAGCCGTTCTTAATGAAGGAGTTACGCTCCTCATCCGTGTACGATGGATTGAACGTAGATACGTTGCTATAAGCCGTGTAAGGCGCGTTGGCTACATAGACGACCAGAGGCGGTATGTGGTCGGCGTCGGCGAACTCGGTTGTGTTGCAGCCGAAGAAGGTCGGCTTCTGATTCAAACCCAGGTTGATGAAGGTCTCGGCATCCGGAACGGCGGGGAAAGCGGTGCCGTTGGCGATATCCGTCTTACTGCGCTCGTAGGTAGCACGCAGCGCGGTGCCGTTCGGGAAGCTAGTCGTGGTATCGGCGGACGAGTCAACCGCAAAGATGATATCGACATTGCGTACCGGCTGGATTAGCGGGTGCAGCGGAATATTCTGCAAGTCTAAGCCACCATCGACAAGAGTCAGCTGCTCATTGCCGGCGTTGCCGTTAGTATCATTATTGTAGCCATAAAAGGGGTTCGGCGTCCAAGCGGCGATATCGTCATTGTCTTCGCCGATACGAGTCAAAACGGACTCGATCGCGCTGACCACGATGTCGGGCAGACCCGAGGATGAAAGATTCTGCAGTAAAAACGCGTTGAAAAGCGAGCTGCTTGTTCCCATGAGATAACTGTACGCATCGAATCCGCGGACGCAGTGGCCGTTGTTGGGTACGATGCCGCCGCTGAAGTTAGATCCTACATAACGAGTAGGAGCAAAGCCATATATGGTCGGATCATGCGACCCAATCTCCCACGGGTTGAACTCAAGAACTGTCGAGTTCAAAGAGACTACTGTCGTGCCCGGCCTACGCTCATCACTCACTAGAATTGGCATGGGCGTGTCGGCAGAGGAGAAATTAGGAGCATCGGCGATGGACGAAAACGTGTACGCCGGCCCGCCGTCCGGTGCGTTAATCAGCTGGTAGGAGAGAGCCCGTCCCCAATAATCCGTGATAGAAGTATCAAATCCCGCATCCCTCTTGTCATCAACCTGGTCTTTAACATCATCCCAGTACTCGACGGTGTTAACTATGGAGATCCCCCTGGACTTAGGACCCGCGAAGATGGAGTTAGAGAATTGCCATAGAGAAGAGCCCTGGTAGCCGTCACGAAGCTGGACGACACTAGAAAAGTTATTGGCGAAGATAGAGCCGACCAGCCATCCACCACCCGAAAGTCCTGCTAGGTAGGTGCTGCTCTGCAGAAGACCACCAATACCACCGGCGTCAGTCGATCCCGGTGTGCGGCTGTCAGCTGCGGCAATAAAGCCGGCGCCATTCATAAGCGCGCGATAACCACCACCTGAGACGGCGATGCCGATATTAGGTACGATAGAAAAATTCTGCGAGTTAGAACTAACGTAGTTGACGGCGTCAAAATCGGTTAGGTTTGCCAGCTTAAAGAATTCCAGCATGGGATCGATGGTCTTGTTTCGGCGGGTTCGTAACCAACTCTGCTCCGACTGAGATAGGGTTCCGGCGCTGCGGATCGTCGGCCGTTCGCGCGGGCAATCGACGATAGCCGGTGCGTAACTACCGGACGGGTTGTCGGGACTTGCCCGACCCCTCAAAACATCACGAACTTGGACGGCTGAAGATCGAGAGCCATCGTGACTCCCGGTTGGCGATCCGAGGGCCGCCGAGATAAGCGAGAGCAGGGGTAAAGGAAGGGTACGCATAGTCTCCCGTAACGAGCCCCGGAAATGTAGATCGATCGAAGAGGAACGGAAAGAAGAAGAAGAAAAAAAAAAGATACGGAAAGACGAATTAGTAGTTAGTTGGTGTTGCGGTGGCACGTTGCGGTCTAGTTATACCTATCACTTACCTACTCCTAACAGAGTAGGTAAGAGTAGCACGACTAGGTAATGTGAGATCCAGAAAAGCGGATGGGAGAGAGATTCCAAGGACTTGCGTCACCCCCTGGAAGCATGAATACATAAAGGGAAAAGGGAAGAGAGACAAAAAAAAAGCATCAAGGTGCCGAGTCCTGTTTACCACATTGGGAAAAGTTTCCAAGCCTTCATCCATCAGCCGCGAGCCGTGTTAACCGTTTGCTTACACTATATAGAGCTATTGGGGCCAATCTTTAGCATTTTACATACCTTACACTGCATGCAAACCGGGAACCGGGTGGCCTCAAGAATGAGGCTATGCTAAAGATGAATAAATGGATTTATCTTTAGGTAATGTGCCTTAAGTCGGTAAGGTAGGTAAGCAATGTGAACAAATCGGATGGCTGTTGGGATTGGGAAACTTGGGAAATTCCATCGAATAATTGATGTAGTGGAACAGCCCTGGTATGCCACATGCCGCCGCTGAGCCGACTACTTGCGCTAAAGGCTTGGGTACTTATTCCAATTTCACCTGATGTAAGATCTACAATGCCCGAGGCACTAATGCGGAAGTATAGTGGTGCCTTGCATAAGTACCCTGCTTTAGGTAGTGCTGTCTAGGACGGTCGATCACCGAGCCGGGTGGCTGGGCTATGATGTATTAAGCAATGACGACTCAAGCCTGTGAGCGTCCGAACTATCCGGGGAAGAGCATAGTACCTAGGTACCTACCTAATGTACAATACATGCTGTACCTGCCGTACATAACCACCAATTATTCAAATATTAATCCACGGAAACTTTGCTGGTGCCATGTGTCGTTTCAGAATCAGACCATGTATATTTCCATCTAGGTATGTCCACCTTCCGAATTCTGCGGATAAGCATTAATTTGCGAGATAAAGGAAGGTAGGTAGAGTTTTACTCCAATAGTCGAATATTATATAATACGGCGTACATGTACGTTTCAGGAGACAGGTTTTGCGCACAGGCCACTTCTGACTCGGCAGCAGGAATTCGGACTCGGTCGGTCGAGCTTCTCGGATTCGAATCCCGATTTTGAGGATTTTGGGTCAAGCTGTGACTCAACATTGGTGACTGCCTAATGGCTTAATTGGAAATGCTACGTTTGATAGCACCGTTGAGTCACTTTGTAAATCTCATAAAGTCTCCATAGGAAATCGTGAAAAATTCTCAATACTCATCATTTTCTCCTATTCACAACTACAACAGTATACGCGCGAGTCAGCAACATCCCATATAGTAAAATGGCCCCTCTAAAAATCCTCATCTGCGGCGGTGGCATTGCGGGGCCAGCCCTTGCATTCTGGCTTAGCCGTAGAGGTCACCACGTGGAAGTCGTCGAACGCTTCCCGGCTCTTAGGGCCACAGGGGCTCAGATTGACCTCCGCGCTCAGGGTATCGAGGTGGCGAAGCGCATGGGACTTCTAGAAGCGATACGCCGTATCCGCGTCGATGAAGCCGGCGTATCTTTTGTAGACTCACAGGGGAGGGTAAAAGGGACAGTCAGTATGTACACTTGAGTTGCTTCGAGAGTTTCTTCCCCCCTCCTTTTCGGGAAGCGGTAGGTAATCTCGGGAGCCGGCATATACATACTGTACCTGTCGAGCTGAACGGAGATTCATATCCCCCGAGATAAACCGAAAACACTTGAATTTCTCACTCGAAGATGTAGTCCTTAACTAACAGTGTTGCAGTGGCCAATACGTCCGGCAAAGGCGCACAGTCTCTGACGTCTGAATATGAGCTCATGCGCGGAGATGTCGTACGCTTACTCTACGATGCGACAAAGGACAACGTAAAGTACGTCTTCGGCAAGACTGTAGAAAGCTTCGAGCAAGACGAAAAACAGGTCATTGCTCATTTCTCCGACGGATCATCTGACACCTTCGACCTTCTAGTCGGGGCAGACGGCCAGGGGTCGCGTATTCGAAGAGCCATTCTGCCACCTGATACCCCGGAACCTTACCGACGACTTGGCATACACATCGCGTATTGGTTTATACCTCGCGCAGAAGGAGATACTAGTATCCGAAGGACGTACCTAGCTCCCGGTGGCCGTATGATATTCCGCCGGACTCACAATTCCACAGAGACCCAGGTCTATTTCTTTCTAAAGGACGACTCGCCAGAACTGTCGAGTCTTCCAAGAGCCTCGGTGGAGCAGCAAAAGGAATTCTGGACGCAAAGGTTTCGTGATGCGGGATGGCAAACGGACCGGTTTCTCGAAGGCATGAAGACGGCCGAGAACTTCTACTGCCAGGAAGCCGTTCAGGTTTGTACGAACACATGGTCCAAAGGCCGAGTTGTCCTTCTAGGCGATGCGGCACACTGTGCGTCACCTTTCAGCGGTATGGGGACTACGGGTGCTCTCGTCGGCGCCTACGTCCTAGCTGGGGAAATCGATCGCAACCCCGACAATCTCGCCCAAGCTTTTGCGAACTACGACCAGAAGCTCCGACCCTTCGTCGACGAGATCCAAAACATCAAGCCGGCCCTCCTCCGGTTAGGCATGCCCGATTCGTGGTGGGGCATTATGATAATTCATTTTATTGCGGGGCTGCTCTGCTTTTTTCGTATCCCTGAGCTCATCGCGAGGTTCTCGAAAGAGGACAAGGGTGGGTGGGAGTTACCTGACTATCCAGAGCTTAACCCTTCTCGGTAAGACCCTGAAATACGCCAAATACATAGGGTACGAAAAATCCAATGGCGGGTCAAGCATAAGCCTGAAGCCTTAACAAATCCCCGCTCAACATTATGGAATCACTAGGGATAGCTTCTCTACTCACTGGGTAGATATATTTCTATTCTCGGAACCTGTCAGCCTATTCTTGATTAGTCTGAGGTGGTCTGGGCTGGTCTTTATCAGACTAAACCCTTACATAGGACCCTAGCTAAGCCTCTATGTAAGGCGTCAGATTAGCGGTTTGTAAGTGACGTCTTCAAATAGCCCTATGTATTAAGATACACTAATGGCGCTTACACCGTACAGTAAGACTCACTATCTAAGTAGTTAAATATACCCTGATATTAATAACACTTAATACAAAAGTACAATATATCCAAAGCTAGTCCTCGGCATCAAGTTTTATCTCATATGAAGACAAACAAATATTTCCAAATGTTCCAACTTACATGGTATTGATATATTACCGAACCGGATGTTCTAAATCAAGCAAAGACCTATGTACTATGTACAAGCTCACTCAACCTAAGCTTCTACAACTTCTTCGAACTGGTCCGCCGTCAATCCATAGGCACGCGTTAGCTTATTTCCTATATTCCGCGCCGAGGCCTTGCTAATTACTTGACGTGGGTGGGGCTTATGGATTAGAATAGATTTTTGTTTGCCGGAACTGATCGGATACGTAAATTGATACGATGAGCCCTTCACGGGTTGTATCGTAAACCCTATCTTTTCCATGGCTCGTAGGAAGCTATCCCATCGGATTTCCGTTCGCGCGTCTCCGAGGAATAACGCCCTGATCACCTCTACGTTTCGGCGTTGGAGCCTTATGAGCTGCCTAGGGGCGTTTAGAGGCTGCTGCTGCTGCTGTACGGAGGGGCTTGTTGGTATACTGCTTGATAGTGAAATCGACGACGAGGGAAGGGATGCCGTAAAAATATTTAAATTTGACGTGGGAGAAGATGACGCCCACGTTAGCGCCCGTGATTCGTCGGGCACTGTGGCATCGGAGAGGCATTCATTTCGAACTTGTTTATGTGCAATATAGTCCTTCAGGAGCTCGTGGGGTCTCTGTCCTCCACCATCTTCGAATAATGCATCGGCTTGGTCCCAGAACCGTTTTAGGTTCTCATGAGCCGCGAGCTTGGCCTCTGTCGTAGCACAGATATGACTCTCATAGACAGGGAATGCGAATGCGGGTTGTAAAGGAGAGATCAAATCGAATATTATACCCTTGTCTATCTCGGACGCTTTGAAGATGGTATCGAGTACTGGCAGCTCGATGCTACTACATTCGCCGTCGTCGCTCCAGAGCCCTGGGGTATACGGCTGATAGAGTCTTAACTGCCGGAGCGATTCACAAGCTACGAAAAGCTTCTCGAGAGTCTTAGCGGTCGCCGGTAGGATGTAAGACCGAAGATAAGCGTCGTTTTTCAATATCGTTTCGATATCGCTAACCAGGGATATGCTCGAGTCGACATCGCCGCGAGAGTCGGCGATGCAGTCGTGGAGAGCATATGATGCCGTGAATCCTTCCTGGGTCTCGATTTCGATCGCGAACGACTCTAGCTGAGAAGCAAAATATTGGATGGTATACATCAAGCAATCCTTTAGCCGAAAGAGCGCCGTCTTGCGCGGCAGCTTTTCCGAAGGCATCTTTACTTCTTTGTCCAGTTCTGCAATACGGACCTCGAGCTCCCGCCAGATGACAACATCACCATAGGTATCCCTCAAAGTCTTGCGAACAGCGAACACGTGGTGTCGAGACATAATAACCAAGTCTCGTTCCTGTGGCTTCTCATCATCATCACCATGCAAATATCTAGTAATATCCGAGATAGCCTCGGCGAAGAAACCCGGGTCCTCACGCAACGCCCAAAAGTTGTCCTCTGCGTCGAAGTGGTGGGCTGCGACTAGCTGCTGCGACTGGCGCAAGTCGATTTCCGAGGGTTTTCTATAAGGTGCTTCTGCCGCCAGGGTCGCGAGGGGGGTCTTGCGTCCACCCTTTACCTCATCGGCGGCGGCGTCGTGAAGAATGCCGCGGCAGCAATCTAGGAGGAACCTCATGATTCGCTCTTGGATTTCGAGGACGAGGATCCCTTCCCCCGGGAGGAAACCCGCGCCGGTTAGAAGCAGCGCTTCTATCTCCGCTCTCGAGCGTCGAGAAAAGGGCTCCAATCTGCCGTATTCGTCGTACGTATCCTTGTCGTCGTCATGGTCCCCGGCGTCGAGTCGCATGAAATGATTATCGAGGAAGTTTATCTTGACTATCCCGCTCTCTACTGCGGACTTGGAGCTAAGTAAATCGCTGTGGACAAAGACGCTTGGATGCTCGCGACCCCTTGATTCCATGAAAAGGAGCAGTCGGTCGCCGGGGAGGAGATCCTCCAGGTTAATATACGGCCACATATATGCCTCCCTCAGACCCTTTACATCCGTGACCGGGACGCTGCCAGACAGCGGGTCTTTCGACAGACGAGCGGGAATCATATCCGGCCACGCGCCTCGCAACACCCTCTTGCGACTGGAGAGCTTATACTTATTCCATCGACGGGAAATGGCAATCCATCGGACATCCAACAGGTTTCGTAGTTCCTCCCGACAATCGAAGATACTTTTCGACAGCGCCCAGGCCTCGCGCGCAAGCTCTCCAGCCTCCTGAATGACTTTCGTATCAGGCCCCATGATCGCCGGCACTATACGCTTCAGCGCAAGCCCAAGCGCCAGCGCAAACTCAGGCTCTTCGTTATCCAGGACCGCTACGACTTCGGGGCTATCCACGGCAGATTTGATAGCCCTTTTGAAAATTTTGTTGAACTCGTTGGTATCGACTTGTGTCCGCTTATATCGCGTGAGATGTCGCAATGGCCCGTCTCGCTTTGTAAACAAAATACGTCGCATCAGAAAATTCTTCTTTTCTCTAAGAGAAGGGACATGCGAACTGTAACCGGAATCCATAGATGCAATTAATTAATTAATTCTCTGTTCTCGAGCACGATTAAAGACGACTGACTAACTACGAATTATTTCGACGGCGATAAATAATACTTAATCGGATCTTCAAGCTAGATCTGATTGATTCCAGAGCTCTCCGTGTTTATAGATAGTAGCGCGAATGGGGGAGGCGATGCCACCTCTCATATTGTCTGACAGCGTGGCCTTGTTTCTTATTTTATGATCGATGTTGAAACAGACAAGTTGCATCTCCTAGTAGTTACCTACCTATCCATCTTTTTATCCTTCGTCACTTCAACATCTACTATCCTGTTGTTCGTTTCGAAGTAGTTAGTTTGTAATCTGACGCTTCATATTTAGAATAACAAATAACAAGCAATTTTCCTAATACCTTGTTTAGTCCCGAGCCTTAGCTGTCGAAACTAATAGCGATCCAGTTGCTTGGTTGAAGTTGTCGAGGCTGTTGTTACAACTGCGACTTTAGGTCTTTTGATATAACTACCTAACTAACTACCTCCCAGTCTTACCTACCTATATAGATTCTTGTCTCACTTAAGTCCTGGTCTTTAAGTCGTCGACACAAATTTCCATTTCCACATGGTTGCGATAAATCCCCCTCCCCCATATGTGAAACCTGTAGTCTATCATAGTGGAATCATGATCCGTAGGGTACGTATATAAGGAACATTATGTGCTATTAGTTTTGAGACAAGTCTTAGATCAGGTATACTTGACTAAAAGTGGCAAATATGCCTATCTGCAAACATGACTATTCTACCTACGGGGGTGAACGTAACTTTTGACGGGAGCCATCGTGGTTTGACTACCCAGACAACGTATCACGACCAACAATTGATAAGGGGGAAAACTAAACCAACAGGTATAAAACAGCCTTCGCAGCTGTAATACCATTGCCGAGGTATTTAATCCTAACTCCAGAGGCCATGCCAAATCCTTTCACTCACACGCTCATTCACAGTGGCACTGTCAGTACAGGGGAGCCCACAAGGGACAAAAAAATAATTCGCCGCCACGAAAGGGGGCATATCGACGATGGACAAATATCGTCTTTTTTTTCCTAGCCAGCAAATAAACCCTCAAAAAGAAAAGAAACATGGCTCATACATTCCAGCCAACAGTGCCTCGAACTCCAACGAGCCCGCCACTCAGCACGACAGCATATTGATACAGGTGTGCTACCCTAACCCCACGAGCTCAAAATCGCGAGTGTCCTCTACGTTTTGGACTCCGTTACCGGGGTTGGTGCAATTCTTCGCTTCTTAGGTTGCCCGCCCGATGCTTCTTCCTTTTCGTTCTCGCTAGCTTCTCGCTTGACACCAGCAACAATATTACTACCGTTTCCGGGTGTTTCGGGAGGGGTTGCGATGGGTATCCCTGTCACCTTACCCGAGTTTGTGGCAGCGATGCTGGGTATGCTTCCACCGATAAGAGGTGGGTTATTCATAACCGAAATTTGTGTCGCGATTGACGACGTGGAATTGGATCGAGCGGGTGATGAAGGGCGCGCGCTTACAAATGATGTTGTAGCTGGAGGGGATGGAGCTGCAAAGGAGGTGGCTGAGTTACGATGTTGGTGGTTAGGGAAAGGTGAGGGGGGCGCAAAGGCGGATGTTGGTGTAGGCAATGGAGTGGGCTGGTTTGCAGGAGGGCCAGCGCTAGTAGCAGTAGCAGCAGTAGCAGCAACAGAAATCTTGGGGCCCATAAGGTCACCCTTGTACTCCTGGCCTAGTTCACCAGGCGTAAACGACAGCGTCGAACAAAAGCCGTCAGACGAGGAAATGAGTAGTGTCAACCCGTCGTTCGACCTGGAAGCTGGTTAGATATTATGGCAGGTCTGCAGCGAAGGGGGTAGCATACCAGGTAAGATCAGTAAACGTGGCAAGATGTAGATTGCTGACAACGCAGATGGGAGTAGTCTGCTGGGTATCATAGAGGAGAACGGAGTCTTGAGTTGCTACAGCATACACCATACGGTACGGCAGCGCAAATGTGGGTTTAGGTCCAGGAGTAGTCGGTCCAGTCTCCAAGTTCAGATGCTTAGACGGGGTAGACAACTTCTCCGGGTCTGGCGCTGAGGATGTTGGAGGTGGAGGAGGAGGGTCCATTACAGCAGGTAACGGCTTGGAAATAGGCTCGGGAAGAGCAGGAATGGGATCTTCTGCCGAAGATGTATCAATAGTGATGTGTTTCGTAACTGGAGGAGATTGTCTGAGCGTATAGGTTATGGGTGAACACTTGACAGCAACTGAAGGCTTCTTTAGGCCGGGGAGATGAGCAATTGGAGGCTTGTTGATCCCGCCTCGGGTATATATATAGACAGTGTTGATAACCTCATATGTAGGTCTAAGGCCGTCTGCTTGGTGCTGCATTTGGAACTGGCCGGCAGGGGTCAGAAGCAGGCTGCCATCCGGGGTAAAAGTCAGGCGTCTAAAGAAAGATGTAAGAGTCTCGCTCGCATAGAGGCTCGCATTCTTCATCCCTACACTAAGGCCATGATTAAGTTTTGGGGATGGTTCGATGGGCATCACCGCAGGCAGAGGCAATGACGGGGCCGGGGATACAGATCGTCGAGATGAAAACGAAGACCGTCTACTATGGCTAACCACACTCGGAGGATTCATCGGTAAGGGAACAGATTGCGGTGTTCCTGGCGCGGATAGTACTGGTGATCCCATGGAGGCGCTGGGCGTGTCAACCGCAGCTGCAAGCTGAGTTCGGTAGCCGATATCCGACGGGGCGGGGCTGTTAGACGAGATACGTCTGCTGGGGGGCAGATCTGCTTTGGCGTGACTAGCAACCTTAGGGGGTTTCTCATCGTGGCTGGTAAGCGCGTACTGTCCATCCTTGGTCTTGAGAGAATAGATGTGAACGGATCGGTCTGACGACTGGGTTGCGATATATTCATTTAAGGGATCCCATGCGACGCCCTGCACGTAGTGACTATGTTCGGCAATTTGCCGTATGAGAACACCTATAGGCGAGTAAGTCAACTGGCATACAAGATATACTTGGGATACTTGGGATAGATCTAACTACGAACCTGTACCGGCATTATAAATTCGAGCGATATTGTCCATGCTCCCAATAATGAAGTAGGTAGCATCCGGAGACCAGGCTAGATCGTATATTTCCGAACCAGTAGGTCGGAACATATGCCTGGTACGCCAGGTTTCCTTGTCTTCGAGGCCCTCGTTCCCAAATGTAGTCGGGTTGTGGTTTTCGCTAGGAACCCATAGGATCACATTGCCATCGTCTCCAGCAGAAGCGAGGGTTTCTCCTTTGGGAGCCCACCGAACGACATTGACGGCTTGGGTGTGTTTGGCAAGAGTTGAGAGGTACTCGACCTTGCGGTCTTCGCCATCGCCTTCGACTTTCCAGATACGCACGTTGTTATCTCCTCCTCCCGTAGCTAGCCTTCCCTTGCCATGTTGAGACTCGAAGTGGGCAGAATAGATGGGGGCATTTTTATCGTGCCAATTGATGATCAAAGGAGTTGACCTCATGGTGACGGTTCCATCCGGGACATGAGACTACGATGTAATCGAGCGCGATGCGAAATGCGAAATGTTCACAGAATGATCGAGGCGTAATTATAGCTGTATGGAAAGAGGGCGAGGCTGCTTCGAATTGGCTTTCGAGATTGTAAGGCGACAGGGAAAGGGAAATGCTACTGGACTATTGGTTAAATAGCTAACCTATCCTGAAAGACATAAAGCGTTGGCGTTGGCGTTGGGAATAATGTCTAGATTCTATATTGGATCTAGAGAGAGAATAATAGCGACTTCTAACGCGTAAGTAGGTGAAGTGGATGTTGAAAGTTGCGAATGATTGGTGTTTTTGAAATGTGAAGGCTCGAGCATTGGCTACCAGGTAGGTATGTAAAAGATGAGGTTGAACTTGGCTGGAGGCATACCGTTGCAGCGAGGGCATTAGTAGCATTAGTGGCCTTACAGGGATCCCCCAGGCACCTTTGATTGTTGGTCGCGACCCGTTTGGAGAGTTCTTAGGGCTATTAGCTGATAGCTAGCTGCTATAGCTGTCCGATAAGACGGTAGGTGGTATAGGTAATGCTTTCAATGGCAACTGCCTCCTACCTCGGTTACTTCTTTGATTGTCCAGTTCTCAGCGAAAATACATGTAATGAAGAGACATTCGTACCTCTTTAGGTTTAGGTAGTATTAGTGTACCTTCCAATATCTGTAGCTACCTTAGGTACCTAGGTACCTTTCAATTAGACAATCTCCTCGAGTTTGCTGCGATACTTGAGGGATAAGTCAAGTTTTGAATATACTCCTGACTTTTAAAGATATTTCTTCTATACCTACTATTCAACTGGTATTGGCATTGTACACACTGGACAACACAGTACCTTACCAAAGGTACGGTAGCAATTTACACGTTGCAAACTACAATCACCTATTATACGCGTCTAGGCGCGTTTGTTCCGCGGGACCAATCAGAACCGAGTCTATAGTCGAATTTGGGATCACCTCACCCACCCCGCTATCTTGTTCCATATCCATACGTAAACGCTACACTCATCATAGATCATAAGGTGATAACGTACGTATCAAACATGTTTGCCTTGGAGAGAAAGGGAGAGGGATAAATGAATCATGATCGATCCAGTTGTTGGATGTCTTACAACGTATTAACCCTTTATGAATCTCCTTTCTTTCTACACCAATATTAGTCAAGTATATTAAGACTGAATGCGGATAGTAGCTTTGGCTATGATAACAAGATACTTAGATGTATCGTAAGAAGATGAAGATGTCTCCTTTTATATGTTTTTTCCAGTTGTCTACTTGGGTACTTTGATAGGTAGACTTGCAATGTCTACCCATATCCAACATCCAGTGGTCAGCTATCACGTGGGTACCTTCATAGGTGACCCTTGGTATCACGTTTCACATAGAAAAGCGCTATTCAAAGTGTAGACATCAACGATATATCCTTTAGGTATACCCTTTAGGTGCCAT